CATGGATGGGCGACGACCACAAAAACAAGCCAACCCTCGACCAAACCTCTGCTATGCACGGGGGCTCGAGGAAAGTAGGACTTACAAGGAGACTGAACGCACGGTCGCAGAACGATAGCTAAAATCCTAAGGAAGGGGTACGTGCGAATACAAGAGTAGTTCCGCTATCCTCTCTTTGGTCTTCAGTGACATTCGACCCCAGCAACCGCAAGGGGTCGGATCTCACTCGGGGGCTGATAAAGGTATAAATACCCCCTTTTTTGAAACAGTCATAGCGTCGGACCTCTTCCTCACGTCAAGGTTAGTGGCAAGGTTTGTGGGAACGAATAACCGAACATTCCTGGTCAGACTGCAAAAAAACCACGCCTCGACGGCTACGGTAACTTTGCTCACCAGCATAAATCGAAGTTTCCCTCTTACACACCTCGGGCCCAACGGTCTTATCGAATGGAAGGGTTGGATTGCATGAGCCCCTTTTTTGAATACAAAAAGGGAAGAAAGCAAGTTCAATCAAACGAAATGAAATTATGAATTTGTTTAACAAAACGAAATTACGAATATGTTTTTAAAATACAAAAGGGTCGACACTTGTCCACAGATTACAGATAATGTCCATCAGACCCATTCGACTAACTATCCCCTCTTGGGGAGAACTATGTCTTTGATTCTATCCACCAGGTTCCGCGCAATAGGAGTCACCGCCGTCTCAATCTCATCCAGCTCGGAGGCTTCGTAGCCAGGCGTGAAGCCAAGGTCATTGTCTCTAAGTCAATGCTCTTCGCGTAATGAGAGTGGGCAACACCAAAGGCTTGGGTGATCTCAGCATTAAAAGCACCCCCCTTGAGCTGGTGCAGCTGCGCCGTGATATCAACGGCACGGGCCTCAGGCGAACTGGTTCCCTCCGGCCGCACCACCTGCAGATCATTGTAGACCACGCTGAGGGCAACCTTCAGGATGTTGAGCTCATCGCTCTCCACCTGAAGAAGACTCCTTGCCTCAGCAAGATCCGTGGCCAGTCCGACAGCAGTGCCCTTAGCCTCCAGCTTCTGGGCTTTTGCGGTTCTAAGCTCGGCCTGGAGGGAGCTGATCCTCTGCTGCGCCTTATCGTGCTCTCTGACGGCCTGGTCACGCTCCCCATGGGCCGCGCCGCGCTCCAAGCGGAGCCTCTCCGAGGTCTGATGCAGCTCGTCACACTCCCTATGTAGCTAGGCGACCACCTCGGTGTCTTGATTCGCCCTTTGCTGAAGGGCCGCGAACCTCTCCTCGGCTCCCTGCTTGAGCTCCTGCTCCTTCTCAGCCTCAGCCAGGAGGTTAAGGATCCGTTGGTGGGCTTTGGCATCCCTCTGGAGCAGCTTGTCCCACTCCTTTCAGACTTTGGCGGCCTCCTCCTCATCCTACCACGCCCTTTTCGACAGTTCCTCAAAAGACTTCTCGGCATCCTCCGCATCCCGACGGGCCTCGGCCTCCCGCCGTCGAAGATTGTACGCCTCTACGGCGAGGGGAGTCAACTCTGCCACTCTCGGTCGGAGCCGGGCAGTCACATCCCTATGCAGTCATGCCTCATCGACGAGGCAGTCCCTATCCTCCTTATGTTCGTGAAGGAATCGGGATTTCTCCTGGCTACGAGCAATAAGAGACTGAAAGAAGATGATGGTCAGATCACAAAAATAGATGAAGAAAAGAGAGGGTGAGAGGCAAGATTAAATGAATACCCAGCCGGTGGGAATGATGACATCGCGCAGGGTGCCCCTGGCCTAATTCAGGGCTTCCAGCGTGGCCGTGATCCCCTCGTTGAGACTCTCCTGCTCCATGCCCTTAGCGGCATCATCGAGGGTGAAGAGTTCCGAAGACGGGTCCTGCGGACTCACCCATCGGAGCAGGAGCTCATCCTGCATAGGCGAGTGGCTGCCCTCCAATGTCAGGGCTAGGGACAACTCCCCGTAGGTCCCCTCAGTGACCACCATGATGTCCGGGGATCCCTCGACTGTGGGGGATATACCCCCAGGTACCACAAGATGGTACATGGTCCGCACCATCCGAGGTGGCCCGGCCTGTAAGATCAAGGCGTGCACATCAAGATTACAAGTTGTACTAGATATTATAATAGTACCAAATTGGATACTTTACTTGTAACCTTATCTCTTCGGAGTATATAAGGAGAGACAAGGGTCCCCTAGAGGATAGGTTAATCTGTATACATCTCAATACAATACACCAAAGACACAGGACGTAGGGTATTACGTCGATCAGACGGCCCAAACCTGTCTAAATCGTTGTCTCTGCGCCTTGTGTCACCATCTGGTTCCTGATTACACGCACCGTCTACCGATAATCTACCACCACGGGCACCCCCCTCGGTGGACTGCCGACCATATTTCATCGACAGTGGCGCGCCAGGTAGGGGTCCCCTTTAGGGGTTGTGCGCGCTGATCTTTCGACGAGCCAGATGGGAATTTTCATTGATTTCTACCAAGTAATCGGGTGAGTCGTTCTGAGCAAGGCTTTTGATTAGATCAATCTGCTCTCCACATATCTAACTCAGATTAATTTTTATGCACGTCATATCTCCGTGATCCGGTTCGGCGGTGAGCCACTTTTCCTATCACATGCCGCCACACGAGGGGTTGAAACTTGGCACCACACGCATGCATCCATGGTGGACCAGTGGTTACTGGCCTGACAATCAGCAACGTGCCTTCGGATCTCGTTGCAACTACACGGTGGACAGGATCAGCGTACCTGTCCGTCTTCACACTTTGGCCTCACGATATTCGACATATGCAGCCGGTTCTCAGGTCTCAACAACTCAACGCGTGCGGGCAATGGACTCCTAGTTCTACACGGGCCAGACATGCAAGCCAATAGCAACACATGGAGGTCTACGCACAAGCAAATAGAGGAGTATGTGTGCATCTACAAGCACATATATGCGTTGGGAGCGGATCCACTTGCTTGCATGTCGTGCTAAGGCATCCATCGGTCGCATCCATACAATACTAATATGTACAATGAAATACGTCCAAGTCCAAATACATGGAGCCATCCGAATCAAATTGTTAATCGAGCCGCACGAGCTACCAAAAGAAGCGCCCGAAAGCGGTTTAAATTAGCCGCGTCGAGCCATCAAGTGAGCGGCCAAACCGTAGGCGAGCCACGCCGAGCCAACCAGCCGAACCGCGACGAGCCGAGCGCGAAGCCACGTCGAGCCATCAACCGAGCGGCATTGAGTAGCTCCGCCGAAGCTCGACCACGTCGACCACGTCCCGAGCAGCTCCGCCAAGCTCAAACCACGTCGACCACGTCTCGAGCGGCTTCGTCGAGCTCCGACCACCTCGACCACCAGACCACATCGACCACGTCCCGAGCGGCTCCGCCGAGCTCCGACCACGTCGACCACCAAACCACGTCGCAATGATGATCGCCGCGAAGAACGGCGCTACGACAACCGTGACCATCGTCGTGACTACAAGTCAGAAAGCTCGAGGACCAGACAACTTCATCGCCACCGACCAGATTTCTATCCAAAGATAAGTACACTTCTAATATTTATATTTAACACAATTTTCATTACGACGTTTCTCCATAGCGTCCTCGTCATGATTATTCTTCAAATAACGTTTGTCCATGTATACCATCTTAAAGATAACATACAGCTATACTTAATGCAAATCCTCGACCAATCATGTTGACGCTTGATGTCTCCAGAAAAGGCCCTGTCTCCGGCTCCTCCCTACACGTGCACGAGCATCTGCCCTCTGCGTTATGAGTGGTCGGCAACGGCTCCTTAGCGACGCTTTGTTCTTCCTCTGGCGTGCGTGCAGGCTCCGCGCCCAGCGTTATGGTTAACAGGCTAGCTAGGGTGGAGACTCGACTACATACTAATCGGTCAGCAGTTTATATTAAGTATAAACACAAACTTCACTTTAACATCGATGTTTACAAAGCACCAACCGCTTTATCACATCATGCTCATTTGCAAATGATCGCCGAGCGTCATTTTCTCCATAATTTATTACTTTGTACATCATGTACTACCATTCTACATATTTATATTGCAGTAATTTCGAGCTATGCTCGGGGACTTCGTCGCTCGCTCCTCGACCTGTGCCTGGGGACTGCCTCGACCAGTCCCCGACCACGGCTCGGGGACTTCGTCGCTCGCTTCTCGACCTACGCTCGGGGACTACCTCGATCACTCTCCGACCACAGCTCGGGGACTTCGTCGCTCGCTTCTCGACCTACGCTCGGGGACTGCCTCGATCACTCTCCGACCACAGCTCGGGGACTTCGTTGCTCACTTCTCGACCTACGCTCGGGGACTGCCTCGATCACTCTCCGACCACAGCTCGGGGACTTCGTCGCTCGCTTCTCACGCACTAGGATTGCCTCAATCACTCTCCGACCACAGCTCGGGGACTTCGTCGCTCGCTCCTCAACTTGTGCTCGGGGACTGCCTTGACCACTCTCCGACCACGGCTCGGGGACTTCGTCGCTCGCTCCTTGACCTGTGCTCGGGGACTGCCTCGACCACTCTCCGACCACGGCTCGGGGACTTTGCGTCTCGACTACATGCGACTGGCGACTCGCATACAGTTGGGATATTTTTTTC